AAATCGGCTACAATTAACTGACTTTTCCAGGCTCATAAAGGAGACAGATCCACCAAAACGACGGCCAGTATCGAAACGAATAAACTTTATGGTTAGAAACCCCATGTGTGCCCAGAAAAAAAAGAACTGTGACAAGTGCCGTTTTGAGCTGAAATTTTTCGGAGGAAATAAGAGTGATACTTATGTTTCCAAAAATCAGAATATACCTCCAATCACAAACAGAAATAATATATTTGACGGCATCATTCAGTTCCAGCAAAAAAAGATATTCCCTGTCTCATCGCTTTGATTTTTGAAAACCGCAGCCTTAACCCTTTGGGGACCACGGATCCACCTCCTCTGTATCTCTAACCTCCAACGTAGCAACGCTGGACGGCTGTTCGTGTTGCTGTCCATTGGGTCGGGAATCACTGTCTGTCTCACTCCTCCTTGTCACTCGGCAAGCGTCGAGCAGTTAGCGGTGACAAGTGCCCCTCCCCCCTTCCCCATTATCAGGAACATGGTTGATGGTTCCACCCCTTAGCACGAAGAGCCGTCCAACGTTCCCAGACTGGGAGTTAAAGACGCGGAGGAGGTGGGTCCGCGGTCCCGAAATGGTTAAAGGGAGATAAGCGCACAAGAAAAGTTTGGTTAGTTCTGGAAAACCAGATATTTCCCGTAGTAGGCAAAAGGTGTCTTATTCTGTGGTGAAAGATCTCCACATTTCAATACTTTTATTACAAATGATGTAATTATTCTGGACTTAGAGATGCCAATTCAACCCGGTCGGGAAGGCAGCCGAACGGTCGCGTAGAGCGAATCGAACAGGGCAAGCGACTCTCTTCATTATATCAAAGTTTTGTTCTCCATTTTGAGAAAAAAAAATTCTAAGTGTTCGGTGCAACCCTTATACTCCATGATTTTCTCCACACGCTCATGTGCTTTGATCTATATATAACTACTCTTGAGTGCGAAGAAAACCCTGAGGGTGAAACATGGTCTTCTTTTCGCTCTCACGGCATTATTTGAGGTGCAACGTTACCTGGTTCCACTCACGCGGTAAGGAAATAACAGTCGTTCTATTCTTTGAACCGTTCGTGACGGGGTGTACCTCTGCAGGTACACGGCTTTTTCGCTGGATGGAGCTACTTTCCTAGACTTGTAATGATTATTCCAAAGCTTAAATCTAAGCGATTTTAGTATTGTGCTTGCTTCCAGAGAAGGCATTCTCAGTGAGCTGTAGCAGCAAAAATAAAATCACATTCCATTATCGACACGAATTTCGTTCGCCTAAGTTCTCTGGATGGCTTTCTAATGTAGCTGGGAAATCGCTTAATAGCATAAATCCTGGTGATCCTGAAACTACACGGAATACACGTACACGATTATATATATATATATATATATATATATACATATATATATACATATATATATATATATATGAAAACCTTCCTAAAACTTGAACCCAGCTTCAGAATCGCCAGGATCTATGCTATCAAACGATTTGCACAGCTACAATGGAAAGCCACCCAGAGAACTTGGCTGAGCAAAAATGCGCGCTGAGTGTGCAATGTAATTTTACTTTCACTGCTACAGCGCACTGAGAAGGCCTTCTCGGGAAGCAAGCACAATGCTGAAATCGCCGAGATATAGGCTTTCGACTAATCACTATAAGTCTAGAGAATTAGCTCTATCCAGTGGAAAAAAAACCTCTGACTACTCTTGTACCTGGAGAGGTACACGTCGTATCGAAAGGATTAAGGTTGACAACGGCCATTATTTGCGCACTGCGTGAGTGGAACAAATTAACGTTGCTCCCTAGGTATAGATCACCTCCTACCGTCTTAGATCATCATATGCTCACCGAAGTCATCTACTCCACACCGCTTAACTCTTAGTAATAAGGGGAAAAGATCGAAATACAAGAAGCAAAGCGAAAGAAAAATGTCTCTTACGATAAAAACGATGTTGGCCGTGAATATGCCATATCTGAGCCACGGTAAGCAAGATCGATCCTTCATGTCCGATCGCAGACTAAATAGAGGAAATAAAACGCAAACAATTTCACAATGATTCGAAAAACCAAACAAACTTTAAAAATCTTAACATTATAACGTACTAAATTCTTGAGAACTGCCCTTAATAAGCTGATACTGAGCTGCTAAAACTTATTTTAGTGTCTAGAGGCTAATGCTTCATTGGGATTTCCTTTATCAAAGGCAAGATAGGAACATATTATAATTTTTAATACGTTATTTAAAAAGCTTACGCCATTTTGGTTCTCTTAATATGATTTCTGCAGTGAAATTGCATTGTTTTGATATCGTTCAACTGCGCATTTTCTGGCGAAATTTTTGGTATAGAACTTGTCTATAATTGTTTTAAGATGGACCTCTCAGGGAACAAATTTACTCGTTACTCATGCATAAAGGGACAAAAATGCTTGTGAAGCGACGCACAAGATTAATGGAGCTTTCTGTAGACGGCCCTAGTGCGACCGATCCTCCAGTCCGCTCTCTCCAGCTCTGAACTTTGCGAATCACTTCTAAGCCTTCCTTTCTGCAGCCATATCCTAACCCAAAGCCCATTATTCTTGCGCGCCGCTTCAATAGCATTTCCTCTACGAGCCATTTATGCATGAGTAGCGAAGGAATCTGTTCTTAAAACAGCTCTATCTTACAGCAAATATAGGCAAGTTGTATAACAAAATGTTTGCAAGAAAATGCATAATCAAAAATAAAACCAAAATCATGCGATTTCATCGCAAAAATCATATTAGAAAAACTAACCGACACGAACTTTTCACACAACCTATGAAACATATATATATGTATATATAAAGGTATGTGCTCGTACATGTAAATATACACATATACGCATGCATATATATACATATATACATATAAACATGTGCAATGTGTATAAATATACATGCACACACATATGTATCTAAATACATTACTGGTCAATTTTTCCTCAAAAATCCAAAAAGATGTCAAGAGGACGAAAACTGACTCGCACACGTATTTCCGGGATTTCTTATGTTTTTACTGCTTGTTGCGCAGTGTTATGATGTTTCAAATATTCCAAAGAGAATTGAGTAGTTAGCAAAAATCCGACCTCGGACGGGAGTTGAACCGGCGTTTCATCCAAATCGGGGACGCGTGCCACCATTACACCACCGAGACCCCCGCTTACTTATCACTCATTCTTCAATATCTTTTTGTCATATCTATCAGCCATCAACCATTGACAGATTTGGCCGGCTAAGCAATGCGCTTTATAAACCCAGGGTGGAAGCGGGTTCAACTCCCGTCTGAGGTCGAATTTTTGCTTATCACTCAACTCTCTCAGAAATATTTGAAACATCTCATAGGTAAATCGCCACCACCGGAACAATCTTTTATTCTGGATGGGCTGCACGAATTCTTCTACGATGAAAAAAGGGGCAGGAAAACCTCGCATATCTGGAAAACCCAGGCTTTACAAAACTAATAAAATTGCTTGTAAATTAATAAACCCAATAAATAAATAGAACCAAATTGAACTAAATTACTAAGTAAATTAGTAGGTAAATCAAAACGAATAGAAATAGGCTCATATGCCTTGTCCAGGATTGATTCTTCTAAAGAGGATTTTAAAAAAAATGATAAAGCTCTCGGCGCTGGTCAATCCCCGAGGGATGGGCCGTGCATTCGTCTTCAATTTTCCAACTTTGTTTGAGGTGATGGAATGCATATCTGGCCTCTTCAATGACTCGCGGTGGCCTCCCGCTGAACCGAGTCAGTGCTGCTAATCCTCCCAGACAAGTCTGAGACCTGTCTGGTACCAATTTACCGACCCCGGAGGGATGGAGGATGGCTTAGTGAGGCATGAGCACGAGATCGAACCATTGACCTCGTGTGCGACGCAGAGCACCTCTAATCACTGCGCCACATACGCTCTATTTTATAAAGACGAAGAAAAAAATAGCACTACGCCTTGTTCTCGGATGTCAAATCGACAATAAAATTCGCTTGAGCCTTAGCCATTGGAAGCCAAAACGATAAATTTAAACGATTTTTTGTGTCGCCACGGACGGGTTTGAAGAGAAAACGGAGAAAAAAAAGTAGAATTTCTGATTTTAAAGATATTTTTACATAAATTTGAAAATTTATCAGAAGGTCACATACCTGTCCTCGTACGACGAATCGGGACGACGTTGATGAAGGGGTCGACCATCGTCATGTACAGGGGAGTAGACCCTGAGGTGACGGGGTTGCTCGGACCACCCACCACGAAAACCCTCACCCCCGCCACCCCTCATAAAAACCATCCAAAAGAAACTAATCTCACCGAGGGAGGTCGCTCGTTCGCGTACGCCGCGCGAACGCGCCGCGTCTCACCATTGCCAATGGGTCAGATAAGGTGGGCACCAAGGTGGGCGATCGACGCCTTGAGTAGATCGAATCGATCTGAGGGATTAAGTGCTAACCTAAGAGAATTGAGTGGTAAGCAAAAATGCCACCTCAGGCGGGAGTTGAACTATCGTTTCACCCGTAGCGGCGGTGAGTGTTACCACTACACCACGCCAAGGCACCATCTCGCTATCATTCATTCTTGGTGGGTTTATGAAGCGATATCGCAACTCGAAGCGCATATGGCGTAGTGCTGAGAGGTGCTCTGCGTCGCTCAGAAGGTCCAAGGTTCGATCTTGCCTAGCCCATGGCTCACCAAGTCATCCATCCTTCCGGCGTCGGTAAATTGGTACTAGACAGGTCTCAGACTTGTCTGGGAGGATAAGTAGCACTGATTCTATACAAGGGGAGGTCACGGCGAGTCACTGCAAAGGTCAGGTATGCATTCAATCGCCTCAAACGAAGTTAGAAACCGAAAACGAGTGCATGGCGCAGCCCTCAAGGATTGATCAGCGCGAGAGCTTCATTCTTTTATTATCGCATTCGCGACCATCTCTGTTGATGGTGGTGGCTGATAGCTATAACAGAGAAATATTGGAAAATGAGTGGTAAGTAAGCGGTGGCACTGGTGGTGTAGTGGTAGCATGCGCTCCATGTATGGGTGAAGCTCGGGTTCAATTCCCGCTGAGGCCGGATTTTTGCTCATCGTTAAATTCTCTTAGGCACATTTGAAGCATCATAGAAATGTGAGAAAAACAGTGAGAATTTAAGAAACCTATGGGTCGACGGAAGGTCAATTCTAGGAGGTACTGTTTAGTAAGATCAGTTACATTATTCCTAAGCGTACAGTGAGAATAATCATCAAATCTAGTAAGATAGCGATCTAAAAGAGCAGAGTAGACTAAGAGTTTGCTATTGAGACGTCATTAATTTGCAGATATTTATTTGAAATGCAAGGAGGGGAGGAGGGCAGCGCAGTAGTTAGTGATGAGGGGTATTAGGACGGTCATAATCAGCGCGCTCGTTCAATCCCCTACCGTCTCGTTCCTCCTCAACTAAAATTACAGGGAACGGGAAGGTTTTAGTAATATATCACTCAGCTAATTCTAACACTGCTATAATGATTTTTTTATTTGATGTTGAAAATTTCATAGAATGGGGATGCCGTAGCCGAGTGGTTGTGATGCTCGTCACGGTGCGCGTTGAGCCGAACCGACTCGATCAACCAGTATTCGACGATCAAAAAGACGATTAGACGAAGATAATGCTAGAAGTACTGGAATCCGCACAGTGAAAAAAAAAACTGTGGAAACGGATCAATGAAGTGTCTTAAAGTTTTATTGAATTTTTGTTCAATTTTGTCTAAAATCTGTTTACTTGATTTACCTATTTTGAGGTGGGCTCAAGTTATGGATCGTAAGAATCAACGTGTCGCAGTAGTTGAGTTAAGCAAGGCGAGAATGAAAACCCCGACGTTGTTCAAATCAAATGGTTTCAAACCAGCAAGTTGTAAAGAGCAGTGAAACGTTTCAAATAGACGAGAATGATTGAGAAGAGTCCTTAGAAAGCTCGTCCAAGCACCTCGTGAACTCCGGAAATCATTCAAAAGTTCTGCTGACGAATTCAACGAAATCCAGAGCGTTCGATGGGCGAGATGGCTCGGGACGCTCGGGATCAGCGGGTGGAGCGGTGCAATATTGTCAAAAATAACCTAAAGCTGCGCAGCTACAAGATCGCTCGTGTTCACTTTCTGGACAAATAATGGAAGAGAAACGGCCTTCAAATGCTCTCCGAATGGCTCGCTTGATAGTTGGTGCTCGTTTTTCATAGGTGCTTTTTACGAATGAGAAGATATTCATGGTTGAACCATTCCATAATTGCCAGACTCGGCGTCAACTTCTCAGTAAGGGTCAGCAGGAGTCCGCTGTGATGGTCTGCGCCGGCATTTGTGCTACCGGAAAGACGCCGTTGGTCTTTGTCAATAGAAACGTCAAAATCAACGCTGCCAGCTATCAGCAGTAAGTTTACGGAGCGTAGTGAAGCCTTGAAGTACTCAACACTATGGCGCCGGATTTACGCTTCAGCAGGACTGGGATCCTGCGCATTTGGCCCTCTCAACGATTGTCATCTGCCATGAGCTGTTTCCAGGTCTTTGAGGCAAAGACAACTGGCCGTCAAATTTGCAGGATTTCAGCCCAGTGGATTACCCCGTGTGGTCCATACTGGAGGAAAAAGTTTCGACTACTTGCTACACTACCGTAGACGTGCTCAAAACGGCTTTGACACGGCTTGGGACGAAATTACGGTGGAAGCGTCTGTGAGCATCGTCAGAAATTTTCGGAGACGACTTCGTAAATGCATAGAGGCCAGAGGAGGCAATTTCAAAAAATTGGTAAAAACACTTCTGCGTGTTGTTGTGAAAGTTAGTCTAATAAGCGTAATATTCTTCCAATTTAATGAATTCATTTGTTTATGCAGTAATTTTTTACTGTTGAAATATCCGAAAAAATCATAGGGACTTTTTCAGCACTGTGTACCTATCAAGCTTTATAAGTTAGCAATCTAAAGGACCAAAGCAAGCTGATACTTCATCAACAACAGTTCTTTATAGAATGGAATGTTTCATCTGAGTTGTGTGCTGCTGCTGCCAAGGGATCTTTCCCACAAGCACAAAAGCTACGCATTGCCTTGCGGTTGTTTTCATTTTATTTAGTTGTTCGAATATGTATGTTACTCTGGTAGAAACTTGCTTTCTTTTCGACAATATGGTTTTGCAAATTTGAAATTAACTTTTCTATAATCTAATCCTGGCAGAAAACTTCTCTTGAAAAAACTTGAATCTGTAAATGCTGCAATTTTCTATGAAAATCTGTATGTTGAACTGTTAAGCGTTTGAACATCACAGCGTTCAATAATCAGATAGTTAAGCAATTAATGGCATATTCCAGCCTATACTCTTTCAAATGGTATAGCTCAGCTCAGAACAAATTTTGTTGGTCGAAATATAAGGGATTTAAATATACAAGATCCTTGTCCACGAAAAACAATTCGTTTTCGTTTCCGTTGAGATAATTAATTCTAGAGACGACGAAGATGTTGATGGCAGTTTTGGTCTCGTCTTGGTTTCTGAAGTACTTCTCACATAGTATCTTGAAGAGATGCTTAGAGAGGTGATGGTCAATAGACGAGAGGTTCGAAGACTATAGGGGACGAAGAATAGTGACGTAATCCAACTCGTTCAAAGTCTAAAGCACGAAATATGGCCGAGAGCCGGTAGTGCGATGTCCTGCCAATTCGTACGTCATCTATATGCTAAGTTTTTTCGACTTCGAAATCCTCTATGGTTGCTCGCAAACGGTTCGGGTGCACACATAAAGTTCCTCTGCGAGCTATCGCATTGTTTTGATCACATTCTAATCATCCTCTTCAACGGCAGTACAACTTCGGCGACCTCCTTTCACGTTAAAAGTCGAATTCGTCACGAGACAATTTTTTATCCCTAACGCTTATCGTGCATTCGTTAACACTTTCTTTAGCTCGTATCTTATTCATATTCGCGGCCGTATGCGATTTGTACAACCAGTTTTGTAATTGTAAATGTAAATTTGCGAAACATGTGTTTAAGAGTGGCGGCAAAACGGGTGTCAGTAGTGCAACAGCTTAAAGCTTGCCCCCCTGGATAGGGTGAAATACGGGTTCGAGTCACGCCTGACGCAAACATTTTGCACATCACCGAGCATCATTGAGCATACATAACATCATACCACCTCTAAAAGCGCTCAGATAAGAATGATTTTGCTTGATCTCCCCACACATATATATATATTGTATACACACGTGTATATATGCATATACACAAATTTACATATGTACATATATATGTATATATATATATATGTACATATATATGTGTGTGTGAATCTTTGACAACCCGTTGTCTTTCAATCGCAAACTATGGACGTATTCAGGCTCTAGTATGAAATATGTTGAAATTTAAGGACATGTGTACTTAAGCCCTCGTAGAAGTGTTGAATTTCAATCAAGTATGGATAGAAGTCTCGCATTCAAGACACCTTTAATAGCAAGGAAATTGACTGCGATGAAAAATAAGCAAGTTCGCAATCATTTTAGGTCTCATTGGATTTTATTAAAGCTGTTCCTAGAAAGAAAACGTTAAGAAATACGACATTCAACCTTGAAAGGTTCACATGATTTAGCCCACCATGAGGAATCGATTTATTGCTCGACTATTAAACTGTCCAAAAATTCCGAACAGCCTCATAAAATACATAATTGATAATATCGTATACAAGAATCGTACGCACATGGGTAGCATGGCCAGGTTTGAGCAGCACTGACAACGCAAACAAGAGGGAAGGCGCATTCACGAACCCAACCACAAGGTCTTCATAATTCAACATGAACATCTTCACTTTCGTGTTTGAACATCGTGTTGGCAATAAGTCAGAACGGACAAGAAAAATACCCATATTAAAAGGGAGGGAGGCGCAGAAAAAAAATTTTTTTCATGACGATGGAATTGGAGAATGCATTGAGGAAATGTGACATTGGTTTTACTGGTGATGAGAACACGAATCAGTGTCTGACTAAACTTATAAAAAATTTGAAGGTCTAACAAAAATCAGTGCATGAGCACAAAACAGTTAAGAAAGTCGGGTTTCCTAGGACGTTGAACTCAATAAAAAACGATAAACGTAGAAGAACTGGTTCTTAAGGTACATAAATTGAGAATACAAATATATGGATAAAGGAAATGAGCAAAGAACGCACACTGAAGGCATTTTTGAAGTAAAGAAAAGAGGAGAAAAGAAGGCCAACCGCATTCATTGCAGCCAAAACTATCGCAAAACTGTTCAGATTCTTTAGCTTGGTGAAAAGAACTTGTAATTTCATGAAATTACAATTTCATAAGCTATCTAACAATCTAAAACGAACATTACATCGTTGACTTGCTAAAAACATCGCGGACAATATTTGACGGAATTTCCGTTTAAACATCGCCAATTCACCAATGTCAAAAATCCAATATAATGCTGTCACCATCGGTGAAGCAGGCTCATTCTTATTTATAATCAAAAATCACGAGATGAGACATTCCTTGGAGTAAGTATTATACCATCGTCAGAAAAAAAAACTCACAGAATGCAAAAATCACGGGAAATGAACACGAAAGTGAGAGTATCAGTTTCTATTGGCAGAGATTCGGCAATACCGATGTGGAGTTTACGGATGCTTAAGCGCTTCCGTTTTAAGTTCTATTAGCATAATCAGATCCTGGAGGATTGTAATATGAGAACGCATGCTCAACCCTCACGTATTAAGGGTAATAAACACACATAATATGATTTGTTACGGATGAGCTCATCCATGACCAGCGTACAGTTCTTGTACTCAGACAGAGTTTCACATCTTCATATATAACTGTACCCAGCTCACGAAGGGAAATCCTACCGCCTGAATATGAAACACTAAACTAAAAATACTTAAAAGAACGTCATATTCACAATTAAACCTAATTTCAATCCATCAAATTCTCAAAATGTGAAGCAAACTCACAAATCCTAGGCACAAAACAGAAGATAGATGAGGGATCTAAGCAAAAGAATTCATACAATTCATTTCCTATTAGAAAGGTTAACCGAGGTGGTACAAGGTAATTGCAAGGGGTATAG